ATATATATATATATATATATATATATATATATATATATATATATATATATTTTGTTAAATCTCTTATTTAAATTTGAATTATCTTTAATGTACCTTGATTCATGCGTATTTTTTTTTTTGAAAAGTGATTTTGTTTTCAAATTATATTTAATACACCTTGATTCAAGCGTTTTTTTTTTTGGAAACTAATTAATTGAATATCCGAATAATGTAATAGTATAACAAATACTCTGTAACAAAAATAATGTTCAGTAATTTTGTGTATATGGTAACAAATTCAAAATGGAGATGGACTATTTTTAATGAAATTATATGAAATTATATGTTCGACAAAATGTAATAGTACAATATTTTGTGTAAATAGCTTGATACACTATTATTGTTATACTGTTACATTGTTAGTGTTACATTGTTACACTTTTATTGTTACACTTTATATTGTTTACATTATTCAGATACTAAATTAATATATATATATTAAAGTTCTCCCTAAAACTGGAATATGTTTAATGTACCACTTTTCAAAGAAAAGTGGTGAATTAAATACACATGGATTAATGGAGGGCAAAAAGGTCACAATAAAAATAGATAAATTCAAATTATATACTTGGATACAAATAAGTATCAAAATTAAGTATTTAATAACCCTACATTTTTTAGTGTGTATTTTTTGCCAAATAAATCTAATTTGGTATACTCCCTTACAATTTACCCAATTTTTATACAATTTTATTAGACTTAATTTTTCGGTTTAATTTGACTTAATGCATTTTTACCATTAAATTAGTAAGGAAAAATAACATTGAATAAGTTTACTAAAAATTAAATAACTATAATTTATTAGTGTTAAAATTAGGTCCTAAATTAAATACAAGTAATAGTATTGTAAAATTTTTAGAATTTCTTACAAAACCATTTAGGGCCTTAAAGTTTGAGCTTATGTGTTTTATATTTGCCCAATGTTTATGGTATATGAAAAATATGTGTTATCACCTAATAAATATTTTTCTAACTTATTATCAAAAAAAAACTATATAATACATTGTCTATCAGCTAATAGTTATAAATTATAACTTTATATATTTTTAGATTAAATTTGAGGTTACTTCAAATTTAGGATAAATTTTTACTTAATAATTTTTTTAAAGCGTATAAAAATGACTATAAAATAAGTAAATAGAAGTATCTCACTATTTGAAACTAATTATAACCATAATTGTATTACAAAATTTCTTAGTTAAAACATTCCGATGGTTCTCTACAATATTAAAACATGTTTCATACTATTTAACTTACACAAATTTTAACTTTTTATTTATTATGAAAAAAAAATCATTTTGTTAGTTAGTTTAAATTCTCATTCTCTTTAATAGAAAATTAACTAAATTATATTTGGTCAAAAATTTGACTTTTGCTAATTGAATTTTAATGTATAAAACTTGAATTTAAAATTTCAATTAATATTTTTGAATCTCAAAAAAGAAAAAAAAATATTAAATAATTTAATTTTTGACAATTATTTATATTATTGCAAAATGTATTAATAGGGCCTAATTTAAAACTTTTGCCTAGGGCCCCCAAGTATGCTGGGCCGCCCATGGCCTGAGTCCATCTACCATGGCCTCCTTGACTTTCTTCCAGACTTCTGATGACATTGAAGTCACCAAGTAGCACCCAAGGCACATTGGACTATACGTCAGCGTGATATCTGATGTTTCTCCATAATAATCTTTCATATTCATCATTAGAACCCTATACTATGGATGCAATGAATGTTACTTAGCCATCAGAGCTCTAAACAATATAGTGGATAATTTGATTAGTTTTAGATATTTTAGACACCTCTAGTGAATTAGGGTCCCAGCCTATCCAAATTCTACCATAACTGGGACTGTGGAAATTGGTTATACTATTCCAATTTCCAAAAGTGTGCTGAATCACAACAGGTTAATTCACCAACCTGACTTTAGTCTCAACAATACCCAAGAAGTGTAAGTGATTATTTTCCTAATTTCCTACTAATTAGAGGACTTTTTGAGTCCTCTAATGTTCCAACGTGCCAGATTAATGATAAGAAAAGTGATTTCCTGAGCTTAAGGATCTCCGGTACCCTTTGCTTCCCATGGTCAGTTGACTTCTTTTTGACTTTCTTCTTCTTGGTGGTTGCAATCTCCTTACTAGATATCACAGTATTCTGCTCTGCTGGAGCTAAGAGAGATGTGAATTCTAATGAGGGTCCAGGTGGATGCTCAGAGTTTTGTGCAAGCTTAACTACAAGATGGCCACCTTCAAGTTCTAAGCAGTCAAACTTATTAGGGGAGTTAATAGGTGAGGTAAGGATCATATGAGGAGTCATTTTGTTTATGTTGAATAGAGGTGACAATAGAGTCAGGCGGGGGATCAACATTTGTAGCGGGCTTGCTGTAACTAGAAGTATCAGCAGTTGGTTGGATTTAAGATAGGGGGTTTGATGGTTCAGTAGGGAGCGGAAGTTTCTTAGCAGTAGCCACTACATCATTGTATTTGTCCTTGCAAGCCTTGGTTGGAGCCAGGGTATCAAGCTTGGGCCTCCCAGCAAGACTATTACTTAGGGCAGTTAGCATCTTCATTGCCAAATATTTGGCATGTATGGTATGCCTTGGGCTTTCATTGGCATTCAGTATTTATCACCACAGTTTCTATCCTTTCATTTAACTTCCCCTTCAAGTCAAATGAGTCAATGAGCTCTGTTGTGGCCTTGATTTCTACATAAACTCTAGCAAAAATTATTCTTTTCTTCTTAGTGGTTAGAGTGTCAGCATAGAGGGGTCTTACCAATTGCACTTGCTATGTAGCTAAGACCATCTTCATTCCAGTATTGCAATGAAATGTTGTGAAGTTTGATCCAGATTGGGGTGGAGGAGTGGCTTTCTTTGGCCAAGATCATGGCTGGCTACCATTTTTTAAGTATGAGAGGTCTACCAGAGAAGAATCAGGGGTCAGATTAATACACATTTTCCCTAGATTCATCATTCATAAATTTGAAGTAAAATAAGCCTGCATCATTAGCAAGGACATCAAGCAGGCCAAGCTTATCCCACAATTTGTGAGCAATGAAGCTTACTGATGAGAAAGAAAGTTTTTTACCAATAAAGTACCCTACTAGACATGTTTTCCAGTCAAGGCTACCTTGGTTGCCAATTTATTTCAGAGGGTGAACTACCGTTCTATCATTCAACTTGTTAGGCTCAAAGAACTTTAATCTCATTACCTCATTTGTTGCGTCACCTGCTGAAGCAGAGCGGGGGTGCCACCATCCCCTATTTTAGTATTTGATTCTAAGGTACTTTTGGGGCAACAGATGCATGAGGGCTATTGGCTAAGCAGCTAGTTGCTGGAGCAGACTTAGCCATTTGGTTGGATGGATTTTGTGGTGCGTGCGCAAACACCTCTCTTTTTCCTTTGGGTGTGAGGGCTTGTTTACCAGGCACACTTTGTTGGATGTGAATTTCACTCACCGCTTCCTCAGCCTCCTTGGGACCACCTGAGCACTTTGAGGGGCCATTGTGAGGCTTTGATTGGAAGGCAATAGTAGGGGAAGCCAACGAATCTGGTTCGGGTACCTTTGAGAAGGGTTGTCTTGACTGGTTGAGTCAACTTGGGCATTTGGGTCTTTAATCGGGTTATTGGCTAGAGTTGGGGCCACTCTCTTCGGTTTTACAGTTGGGGAGTTTTTCTAGAGTTATTTGATTGTTGCCATTGATGACAAGATACCATTGTATTTTGATTTCTTGTTGGAGTTATATCATAATTTGTTTATAGAGAAAGAGCAAAACGTGTTGCACAAGGATTGCAATCTTCTCTATCCTCTAGCCCCTTCTCACCTATTTTTTTTTTTTTTTTTTTTTTGGGGGGGGGAGGGGGGAGAGAGAGAGAGGAGGGAATGAGATTAAAATCCGCAACCACCCATATGGAAAGTGAACTCATCTCACTGCACCGTTCCCTCATCCCTCCCACCCACTCCCCCAGAAGCAAGGAGATTACAAATTGGACTCAAGTAAAATTGCATGTACCAATTGTTCATAACAATTTTTTTACACCAAATACTATAAATAAATTTAAGCAAACTCTCTATAGATTATGATGGTGCTCAAAAAATTGAGAGGCGTGAGGTAGAGAGTTAGATGAGCTATTGGCGGATGTGTCGTGTGTGTAAAAATGAATGAGAATACACAAGAAAATAAGTGATTCACCAGCTATAGAAAAACTTAGTTAATCCACTGTAATAGAAGCTATTGCTCCTTGATTGTATATTGTTTTCTTGAAAAAGAAAAGTACAATAGAATTTTTTACTTACTTAAGACCCCCTTTTTACATAGTGATCATTGTCTTTTATAACAAAATATTTAAGAAATGTTTAGGAAATATTCAGAGAATATTTGGTGCGACTTATTGTCTAATGTATGGTTTGATGGCGAAAACTCTTTTTGTCTCTTCTGATAGTTTCTTTATTATTTGTTGCATCCTGTATGCAAAGTGAACTCATCTCACTGCACCATTCCCTCATCCCACCCACCCACCCACCCACTCCCCCAGAAGCAAGGAGACTACAAATTGGACTCAAGTAAAATTGCATGTACCAATTGTTCATACCAAATTTTTTACACCAAATACTATAACTAAATTTAACCAAACTCTCTATAGATTCAAAGCCTGATGCTCTTGACATTCTTTCTTTTAAATTCCTAATATGTGAATTTCAATCTTCGAGCATGTTCTAGGAGCACAACTAAAGGTAGCACAAGAGGTTCAAATCTGACATGGCATGACTCTTTGAACCTGCACTCAGGAATGGTAATACTTTGAAAAATGCATGTTGTCTTTACTACACCTTCATTTAATTTTGCTCAATGGTGAATTATCTATCATGTGTTAGGTGAATAACTCACTTATAAATAATTGATTTTGATGGTGCTTGAAAATGCTTAGCCCAAGTCCAGAATGGTGATTTAATGGTCTAGAAAAAGAGATAGTGTGAATATATGAATTGAGCTGTAAGGATGAATCAAAAACAGTATATAAATGGTTCACCTTAATCGAGAGATTTATGCTATGTCCACTGTAATGGAATCTCTTGCTCCTTAGGGGTGTATATTTCTTGAATAAAAAGATTACAACAGGTTGTTTTCTTTAAAGCCTATTCATACAATGTTATAGTAATACCAGTATATTAGTGGGAGAAATTATCACTCCCCCTATATGATAATGTTCTATTTATACGGATAATCCTTCTAGGGCTTCTTACGACTTCTTCTCCTCTTTTTGTTGATTCTGTGGTCCCTTCTTCTTTTGTCCTTTAATAATTTCTGCCAAGCGACGCCACTGTACCCACGATTCTTGAATGATTACGTGCACAAATATTCCTTTGACCAAAGAGTACATGATCGTTAGAGGCTTCAAAAATTGTTTCTTGGTCCCTGAACACGTGGCGCGAAATGGGACAGTTTGGAGTCTGATAAGTACCGAGCTCCTTTATCGTGGATTGTTTAACGTTGAGCTTGCTATGACCAAGCAGGGTCATACTGAGCTAGACTTTCTGTTGGGCTTCCGCTTTTAGATTATGACTCGGTCCTTATTATGGAACAGATGGGCTGGGTTTCTTGGGTAGTTGTGCTATTTTTTTGGTCCATTAGGTGATTTGGGTTTTAAAAAGGCAGCCCACTCCAAAATCCTATCAGATTCCGCTAGAATTGATGGTAAGTAAGTTTGAATCAAGTGATATATGGAATACGATGATTTAAGAGTAATGTTACTTGACATAATCTCCTAACATAATTTGCTGACTAAATTATTTATAACCATTGGATTAATAATGGCCCCCAATATTTTTTGGGAAGTGTAACTAATCTAATAATTGTTAAATTACATAAACAAATTATATTAGTAATTAAGTTAAAATAATATTGTTGATGATTTAATAGGAGCGACTGCCAAAAGCTAAAATTACAAATTTGGAAATAAGAAAGTAAAAATATGTAGCAAAATACTATGCTTAAAGATTTGATGCTTCATGGTGCACCATCTCTATACTACACCCTCCTTGAATACCGTGGATCGTCCTTACTTTTCAGGTCAGACACAGACCCACCACAACGGATCAACTGCATCAATGTTCGAGAAGCCTTCATTCTCCCACTCCTACCCGAACACCCATTATCAACCGTTGGATCTCTTACACTTTCCGACCCATTGACGTCTCTCAATCCACTCACACCTTCCACACTCTCGGAGGCAGATACAGACGGTGGAGACAAGTCTTCCTTATTCAACTCTGTAACGCTCTGTTTCCTTTCCTCATACTCTTCTCTCCCACTCCTTCTTCGCCTTCTCTTCTCGTCGCCTGTCTGTGTACCAACATCGGCGGACACTTTTCCGGCGAGCTCTTGACTCGACTCGGCCGTGTGGACTCTATATTCGTAGTGAGGAGTTTCGATTGAGCTCCATGACTGATTTTTTCTCCTCCTGGCAGAGATCGACGAATCAAAATTCTCGCCGGAGAGATCCTTGTCCATCACCGACGATGCCGTTTCGTATGACCGGAAGCTCATTGAGCTTAGAAGAAGTTCTGATCCTTTGAGAACGTATTCGTGGCCGTTGATTGGGTGTATCAAGTCGTTCTCCGACAAGTCGTGCCACACATATCTATTTTTATAGCTCCTGGAACGATCAAATCAAATTCATTGTCATGCAAGGATCAGACATTTTGTAGAGTCAAGCTGTGTTTGGTTGCTAAGAACGTTGATTCAATCTTATTTTCTTTCAGTTTCTTCTATTTTCTTGGAAACCAAACAGAATTGAGAATTTACCGTTTTGAAGACCACGAATACATGTCCGCCATGCCCTTTCCTCTAAGAAAGTTCAGTCTATTCGTCACGTCTGCAAAATAAAGCAATTCAGGTAAATTTTGTTCTCATCGGCAATTTCTGTGACTATGATGTGTGTGTGAGCAAGGTTCAATTTGTGGGCCGATACTATTTAGCCGAGTCTGTCCGACTACGCACTTGATACCTTTCCCAGTGCCTATAAACTACGAGTCTTTCAAATCTCATACAGTTCTGCAATTTGGCATGAATATATTGTCTTCTTCTACTTTTTTTAAGCTGTTTTGCCTCATACCAATGTCGTGACAGATGAATCTCAGAACCCTCGCCTGTTTTGTAAAGGAATAAAAATCGCTACGGAATTTCACCCCTCCATTCAAAAGATTTCGACTGATCTAACGGCACTGAACTCTAGTAACTTTTACCTTTCTTCGCCCACAGGAACTTGTTCAACGTCAGAAGAGAATCGTCTACCCCTCGCATATAAGTCCTTGCGCTCAAAGGAAGAAGTACTCACTAGCCACTTTCGATGTGAGACAAGTTCTTG